ATGCGTTCGGCTTGCACCGCGTTCGCCCCGCGGCTCTCCGCAGCTTCCCTCCCTGCAGCCGTGTGGGCTGGCTCCAGGGTGGAGCTGGCGAGAAGAGCCCTTGTGTTTCGGGAGCGGGCTGCTTCGGGTTGCCAAATCCCCGCGTTCAGGCGAGTCTCGGCTTTCGTAGGTGACTTAACTTCTTCCATGCTTTTCCTGAGGGGTTTAACCTTAAAAGTGTGAGGAGGAGCCGCCAGCGCTTGACTCCAGCTAAGCCTCAGTCCTTCGCGCGGAGCCGCTCCAGCTGTCGCCTGGACGGGGCTTGGCAGCGACGAGCTCAACGCGTCGGCGCGTTCCCTGCACGCCTGCTGCTCACCGGGGTGGGGACAGGTTTCCCGAGCCAGTTAGAGCTCGGCCCGACCCAGTCGCTTCCCTGCAGAGAGTGACCTGAGCCAGTTCAGTGCATTAAGAGACAGGAAAAAGCTGGAAATACTTCACTCTGCCACTGGTACTTTTGAAACCCCCTCAGAGTTTAAATGACTTGAGTTTACTGGCTTGCTGTGCCCTCTAGAGGACACTCCTCTATTTTTTCTTTATTTTTTCCACTTAACGTGGAAATTGTTTTTTTTAAAGTTGGTTTTTGCAGTATGCCAGGCCGTTTTTGCAGTATCCAACACACCGTTTGACCTGAGCGTTTACCGAAGGTGTGTGTTCCGCAAAGCTTATCGGGGCACGCGGCTTTTCAGCGCTGTTACTCAGCGCGAATATCCTTTGCATCACTAAAATAAGATAATAAGGATTAATTTCTGCTAATCGTTGAATTTCTAATAAATGTTGCGTATCAGCTAAGTCTAGAAATTGTTTAGTCTAAGAAGTAATTGCCTGACCCTTAAAAATACAAAGCTGCTACGCCACATCTCTTGCTTGTGAACAGGACAAGCCACACTTCAGTATTGGCTTCATCGTGCTTGATACAAACTCTTTATGCATTTTGCCTAATGCGTAACTGTAAGCCAGAAGGTTCTCACTGTAAACTTGACTCTTCCTGCTTCTGGCGTTGGGTTACAAGAAAAACAAAGCAATTTATTTGTGTTACGTTCTCCTAAAATTCTTGCCGTTGGTCCTTTCTCAAGGACTGTCGTCGTTTCCCGGGCAGTGCAGAAGACTGCTGTCCCGTTCCTGCAAAGCTCCTGCTAAACCTCTCGGCAATCGCGTGCTGCAAACCTTGCTCTGAATGCTTAGGCTTTGTAGCTTGAAATCCCAAATCCCGGTACCAAAGGGGATCTGACAGTTACCAGCTTGTGCAGCAGAGTCTGTAGTCGCATCGCGTCATCTCTGTCCGGTTTGGTTCACGGAGTTTAAGGTTCTGTTCTCATACGATAATCGTAGGCGATGGAGCCAAGGGGTGACTTATTGTCAGGAATTCAGGTGGAAGATGCAGCCATCACTCAGGACACTAGTGTTAAAGCCAAATAAAGAGTTAAAGTCAATGTAAGTCTGGATGTTGCCCATCTGTGGTGAGGCTGTTACAGGTTTCCTGGCGGAAAAGAATTCAGTAGCGTTGGGGTAGAGAAAAGTGAATGCCGAAACGTACTTAGACTTAGGCAAGTGAATAGGTGTGAGTTGTTCGTTCTGGGTTTCCTTCAGGTTCAGTGACTTGGGTGGGGAAGAGTCACAACTTAATTAGAAAGGAAAAAGAAAGGGGGGTATGGTTTTGCCTTTCAGCACATTAAAGAGAAGTAGCGAGCGACCTCTCTGTCGCTGGATTAGGGGTGGGATGTGGTCTTGCCCTGGTGCAAGCAGAGTCCTGGAAAGCCTCCGTGTCTTCCAGGTGGGAGTGAAGTGGCTGATGGAAAAGCTTCTGATTTGAAGGAATTCACCGTTGTTACGTGTTGTGGCTGCGTCTTACCTCCTGGCACGCTTTTGTACTGGGAAGTATAAAATACCCACACGGAGAGCAGAAACTGATGGAGCTCATCCACGTCAGGTTTATTCAGAATTTGAGAGATTGGGATCAATCTAGCAGAAGGTTGTAAATAATGTTACTTTGCAGCATGAAGCAGTTGTTTGCTTGTTTTTATTAACTCATTCTCTGTATTTTTCCTTTTGATTTGCAGTGAAATAAAGAGAGAAAAGAGAGTCCCCTCACCGGATGTTATAGTGTTATCTGACAATGAACCTTCTAGCCCTAGAATGAATGGTTTAACAAAAATAGCATTAAAGGAGACCAACACGGAGGCACTCATGGTGAGTCTTCTTGTCTTGACATGCTTTAAGTCATGCCATCTAGAAAGAAGAAAACACACTGCATGTTCCTGCAGAGGCACCTGTGATCACAGAGGCAGGTGGATACGTGGTTTTAGAAAGATGGATTTGCAGGCGAGGAATCTTGAAGCTGTTAAAGGCTGAGGTCCTTTTTTATTTTTTTCAGGCTCTTAACCCCTTGATTTTTATATGCTTTGAAAGTGCACCTTTTTCAGAATCCGCTTTTTAGCGGACACAATGTCCCTTACTCAGCATGGCGTAACACAGATTTGTTGTCTGACTCTTCAGTTTACTTTGTTTATTTGTTTTGCTAGCGAAAATGTCTCCAAAACTTTTTTTTCTGCCTTCGAGTTCCTTCTCCATACTCAGTTTGTGTCCATATACTGCAGGAATGTCGATGATATTAAGACATATATGGCAATTAAAATGCTGTCAGTTCTTGTTGTAACTTGTATGATATCTATCTTTTCCCTCTCCCCGCTCCCTGTTTTCCCATCCTCTGTTGCCTTACCTGGCCCTGCAGAAAAGCAGTCCAGAGGAGCGTGAGAGAATGATTAAACAACTAAAAGAAGAGTTACGGTTAGAAGAAGCGAAGCTCGTTTTATTGAAAAAGTTACGGCAAAGTCAAATCCAGAAGGAGACCACTACTCAGAAGGTATTTATTTTCCTACAGATACTTATCATCTCATCTTTTGAAATGGAGGGGAAAAAATTTAAGTAACTGTGGCCGTTGCCATAACCTGTGCAACATAAGATAGCTTTCAAATAAGGCATATCTTACTTTTCATAAAATCTTTATGAAGTTTATAGTGGTTTATCCTGTTAACCATTCCTTTTTGTGGAATTCCCTTTTTTCTCTTGCCAAGACCAAACAACAAGACAGTTTATCCTATCAACTGTCTTCAAAAGCTGAAGATCTTTTCGTTAAAACTCAGATGCACTTACGAATGTAATATACTTCCAATTATTAAACACTCCGTCCAGTCCTTAATGCCGCGAAGAAATTGCCGAAACACATTCAGAGGAGATTCTTGCACATAACAAATGTGCTGACAGGTAGAGTTCGAGCGTTTGAACCCCAGGCTCTGGGAGCTGGCGGCCGAGGGCTGCGTTGTGTGCTGCGTGGCAGAAGCCCAGCTCTGGATTCCAGGTCTTCCCAGGTGAAGTAAGCGTGCGGTTAGCTGCACGCTTTCATCATCCCAAAAATCCAGGCAGCCCCTGGAAGGAATGGCTCAGCCCTCCCACCCCGAACTCCCTTCCCTTCCTCCTCTTTTCTCCCCACCCCTCATCGCGCGCGACGGCGCGCGCTGTCCCGCGTGCCGGGAGGAGAGCGGCTTTCATCGGAAAAACCCAGCAAAAGAGTCTACCTTTTTGTCGGAGCGGTTGCCCGCGCTGCTCGCTACGTGTGCCGCTGCTGCCGGCACCCAAGGGTAGAGGTGGAGGGTGGCAGGAGAAGAGCAGAGCGGAGGAGGTTGGGAGGCGAGGGGGTGTGCGAACACCCCACGCGCTGCCATCGAGGCACAGGCTAAATTTCAAGTATCTGTAACAATGGCAACTAAACAATTTTATTTTACAGCGCGTGATGCTTGACTTGATGGATTTTTGTGAGGGGGGGGCGTGATGTGTAGATTTAAGCGCACTTCACGGTGCAGGTGCATGTTAATACAGCTCTCGTGGCTGGTTTTGGTGGGTTTTTTGGCACCTTTTTGGCACCTTTCTCCCAGACTTCCGAGTGCTTCAGTAGATGGGGTTAAAACTAACGCAAGTACCTGCATCGCTCAGCTCGCTGCTGCACCCTGAGCAATGAGCTCGGGATGTTTGAACTAATTAGGGTGAAATGGCGTATCCTAAACCTCGTAGTATCTGAAATCGTCTTCCTAAACTGTTTTTCACTTTGCATTATGCTTGAACCTAGTCAGCTGAGACTAGTAGTAATGGTGGATAAGACTGAAGTGAGCTCTGAGCTGAGACTGCTAAAATAGATTTCCACGTTGCTCTGCTTTTGGTGTACAGACTCTTTTATTTTCCTTGCATAATCTTATCTATACTTACCTAATAATTTCTTCATTTAAATACGCATGTTGAGACGGTTGGAGGACGAAGGGGATGGGGGAGGGGGGAAAACCTCAGCCTTTGAAGATTCTCTTACTGAGGCGCAAGGAGGTAAACGCTTTTATTCCCTTAGCTTCTGTAATTCTGCTTTACACCTTTACACTCGTCTGCTTTCTTTCTGGTTTTTCCTCTTCCAGCCTGCTGGTTCCTCTGGGAGTGCTGTGGCCACCCCTCCGCCCTTGGTGCGGGGACCGCAGAGCGTTCCTGCTGGCAAGCCGTCCCTCCAGGTCAGTGGGGTGGGCCAGGCTGCCAGGTTTAGGGCACGGAGCAGGGAAGAAGGTGCACAGTACAGGAAAGACAGCCCCATCGCATTAATGGCTTGGAGCCAGGTGGAAATTTTTTTTTTTTTAACTCCCGAAACCCCACTATAAGCTTTTTAAGAACGATTGGGGTGGGAGATAAAAGTAGGATGTCACAGGGAGATAACTCTGATAAGCTTATTTTTCAGTGGCTGAGCATCCTGATCCCCTCTGCTGGTAAATACATCCATACGAGTACTAACGACCTTTGGCGAAAGAGGATGCCGTGGAGTTATGTCATAGAAATATTGTGGCAGCCTGTTGCCGTACCCTCAAGTCTTAATTGTGCCCTCAGTTTGATTAACCCTAAGAGCTGAGTGAATCGTGTGATTTTTCTCTCTTTTGGCCTGGTGGCTGGATGGCACATGATGGTAGGAAAGATCTTGGTTCAGACTAAATTAAATGAAATGTCGGAAAGCCTTGGGGAAGGAAAAGAAAAAAAAAAAAAAAGCAGAGGCAATTGACATCTGTCAACCTAATCTTCCTCTTGAGTCTAGTGTCTTGTTTTGCTTCTGGATTTTAAACATTTCTGGTTATTTACCTTGGGCTAATTCAAAACAAATTTCAAAACCGCTTCAGCACAAAATGCTTTCACTTGGAAAATGGCAACTCTTCATTTCAAAATCCCCTAGAATGCTGTACTCGAGGGAAGGGATAAATTTGCTATCCGTTTAGGAAACATTCGCAAAACCTAAAGCAATCTGTCAGTTGGAGTAATCTCTTCCTTGAGGCAAGTTGCCTTCACTGAAGACAGCACTTTCAGAGGAACTGGACCACAAGTTCAATCTTCAGCGATCAGACAGTTAAACTTTCGTTGGACAGAGAGCTGGGAGCTAAGAATCCAGAACTGAAGTTATTCTGTCTAATTTGCGGTGTTTGGGCAGATTAACCTAACCTCCATCTGCTTTTGCTTGACTGTAAAAACTCTACTAATTCCTGTGTTACTGAGGAATTGAGTTAACATTTGGTCTTGAGTTGAAAGACGTAACAGAAGTGGATAAAAGTTCCCACCTGCCTAAATATGTATGTGTCTGTACACATGGTAACTCATGAAAGTGGGAGCTTCAGTGTTTTTCAGAAGTCTTAATTCACAGATGATGGTCAGTTTGGGGCTTGAGGGAGGGAGGTGGCACGATGTGTAAAGCCACATGAATAGGCTGGAGAGGTTTGTTGCTCTTGAGCAGTGGGTGCTGCTCAGGCTCGATCGCGTAGCATTAGCGGTCTGCAGGAACGCAAGTGATGCGTGGAACTGTATCACCTTCTACAGCGTCATGAGAAGCTTTGAGGATTTAATGCACTCTGCAGCCCAAAAAGCTGCATGGGCAGCAATTTTTCAAATTTCTTTAGCCTGACTCCTTTTCTTTTTCATTTTTCTAAAGCTTTCCCCTTTACCTGTCTCGTTTTTTCCTTCCCACATACCTGCCCATGCCCAGTTTACTCCCGTCCCCAGGTTCCTGCATCTCCAGCTTGTCTGCCCCGTGCTTCTCCTTGAAGACAGCAGTTCCTATTTCCCCATTCTCTTACTCCTCCCAAAACACACTTTTTTTTAACACGAACTGCACTGAAGCCAGCCCGGCCATCTCGTGTCCTACAGTAGTGCCGTTGGCTCAAGACAGACACTGCCTCCGTCCCATCGGAGAGGAGAGCTGCTCTCCCGTACCCCCGGCTATGGCCCGCAGCTCGGGGCGGCAGCTCTTGAGCTGTTGCGTTTCGGCGGCGGGAGGGCAGACGACGGCGTTGTTCAGGGCTGCTGTTCGCCGTTTGAATCCTGTGCGGGATGAGAGCGAGCGATCCCTGAGCGTGTAGCCAGGCTGCCGTCGCGTCCTTGCGTATGGCTGCGTAAGGTTTCCGGTACCGCTTTATCGGCACGCCAAGCAGCCGAAGAGATCATGCGTATGAATCTACCGGCACAAAACAATGCGAGTAAACTACTTTCTGTTTTGCAGACCTCTTCTACGCGTATACCAGGCACTGTTATTCCTCCTCCCTTGGTCCGTGGAGGGCAGCAGACTTCTTCGAAATTAGGAACTCAGCAAAACACGCAGATAGTAATGCCACCTCTTGTCAGAGGAGCACAGGTAAGTATTTACCTTGTGGTAGAGCCGCTCTGTTTTTCCTTAATGCATCTTAGCTGTTTTCTTAGTCATCTTTCTGCTTGTCTGGAGGGAGCCTATGAATTTCTTGCGGGAATTTCTTAATATGGCTAGATGTACCGCTACTGAAAGATCCTGCATCGTTCCAGTTTTGCGTATCGTGCTGTCCCGCAACGGTTCTCATCTGAAGCATGAGAAAATCCCGTGGCGGTGCTGATACTGCCTTACCTGCATAGCTGCTGCCCTTAGCTGCGCCAAAGCAGTCTGCTTGCTTTTATTACGACAGTTAATTTACAGGCTTCCAGCTTCACCCGCTTTTTAGGACAGCGGCAGCAAAGGAAATGAAACACAATCCCTCGTTCTTCCATTTTTTTCCCCCTCATTATTCTTTCTGTCATATCAATTTCACCTTTTCAAATGCTAAAACTCACTTTTTGTGTCTGTCTTCCGATTGAATAAGAGCTGCTGAAATGAGGTAGTCAACTGGAAGTTTGAAAGTGCTGCTTTGCAGGGTCTTTATCACCTATGACAGAAAATAGTCGTGTCACTAAAGGAGTAGGAAAGCAATGTTCAATTTGATACCGTCTTCTAAAATTGTGACTTCCGTGGGATACCAGGAAAAAAATATTTCCTTGTTAAATGAGGATTTATTTTGCAGTGAAAGGTCTGCTTTTATCTGTTGCATAGCCAGCATTAAGGAGGAAGGTAGAGATTTGCTATTTTATTTTCTTTCAGAACAGAAAGAATAATCAGAACAGATTATGGAGGAAAAACTCATTCTGAGAAATAGCCTTCCTAATGCCTTTAAAATGGAACGGGCTTAACAACTATACATTTTGAAAGAAGTTTAACTTGGAAACTTAGATTTTTTTTTTTTTTTTTTTTTTTTTTTTTTTTTTTTTTTTTTTGGCACAGCTCTTTTGGCCGTAATGTGATGGCCTCACATGTGAGCATCTCTTTTTTTTTCATGTTATGTTCTACTTGTTTCATTTTGACAGAGGGAAAGGGAAAAACATCACATTTTGACACGGATGTTAATTACCACGCTTTCTTTGCGTTCCCTGCCTTGCCTCATTTCCACTGTCTCGTGTCATCCCATTCGACTCCCACCACTTATTCCCACTATCTAATCCTCCCCGTCGTTCATGGCACCATTGCATCAGCCCATTTCTGTGTCTTCCCAGCAAATCCACAACATCCGACAGCACTCCAGCACGGGGCCGCCTCCGCTGCTGCTGGCACCGCGGGCATCGGTCCCCAGCGTACAAATTCAGGGGCAGCGAATTATCCAGCAGGGTCTGATCCGCGTCGCCAACGTCCCCAACACCAGCCTGCTTGTCAATATCCCGCAGGTGAGTTCCCTAAGATATTTTGTGCCAAACATAACATTCATCGCGGAGGAACAGATAAATGGATTGAATTACTGATCGTCCGGTCGCGGTACCTAATTGGTGTGGCCTGCTGTCCTCTTAACCGGTGTGGTCGCTTATTGTTGCTCCTTCTTCTTCCCATGCGGTGCCTTTGTCTGTTCACATTCACCTCCTGCACATAGGAAGGAAGAAGAACGTTACAGAATATTGGAAGGAAATACATATTTCAGTGAATTGAATGTTGTGCCTCATTTCGCTTTTGGTATCAATATGAAGCTGTCCATTAGAATATTTCTTTTTCTCTGTTCCTTAAGAAGTGTAAATGAGTGTTGCGGTAAACAGAGCTCAAAATGGGTTAGCGCTCCGGTTTGAAACACCACGAGGTACTGAGGCAGCAACTTAACAGCCAACACGGATATTGCCCTGCAAGTGGTGTAGACAAAGAAACAATTTAAAGTCAGTGCTTTGGAAAAATCATAAGGAAAAGGACTCCTTTTTGGCTTTTTTTACTTTAGGATTTCTAAAACTGCCTTATGAAAAGAACCAGTAAAGAAAAGTGAAGTTCTTTAGAACAAGAATTAGCGTTAGATGACAGGTGCAGCGTTGCAGTGAACATACGTATTGGGATCGGTTGGGTCACCTACAAAAACATGATTTTGAGGCAGGCAGTTCAGTCCAGTGCCAAGCAGCCAGCCTTCACCGCGCACAAACAGCCCCGCGCGGCGTCAGAACCGGCACCGCTTCCCTCCCTCTCGTCGGAGAGGAGCACGTGTCTCGACAGCGCCGAACCATCCACCGAGCCGTGTCGTGTTTCCTCAACAGGCTTCACCGACTTCAATCAAAGGTACAGCCGTGACATCCGCTCAGGCTAATGCTACTACGACCAGCGCCGCTTCCATCGTCAACTCCAACGACTCGCCGGCCAGCCGGCAAGCCGCCGCCAAGCTCGCCTTGCGGAAGCAGCTGGAGAAGACGCTGTTGGAGATCCCTCCTCCCAAGCCACCTGCACCAGAGATGAACTTCCTGCCCAGTGCGGCTAACAACGAATTTATTTACTTAGTCGGGTTGGAAGAAGTTGTGCAGAATTTGCTGGAAACTCAAGGTGAGATCCTAAAAAAAAAGTCTAAATTCTGGGGCGGGGGGGGAAGTTATTATTTCTCATAGGCTAGACACAGATTTCCCTAAAGTGCATCCAGTTCTCCCCAGAGCTGTTCACTTCCTATCAGCCACTTGTTTGTCCATCACCACTAACCAGTATCTAAGTGACGTATCTGCTGGATACCTACGCACACACTCGGAGAAGTGAAGAGTTTAAAGATTTGGTAATGCAAAAGGCTTCAGGCTGAGGAGAGTTAAGGGTGGAGGGTTTGCTTTGGGTTGGGTTTTTTTAATGCTGAAATACTTTTGAGGTTTCTCAAGTATTATTCGTTGATAGAAGCCACCGATGGAGCTGAGCTAAGCTGGTTGTGTTCTCCAGGTAAAGTTTCGGTTGCTGTATCGTCTCGTGAGCCCTATATGTGTGCTCAGTGTAAGACTGACTTCACCTGCCGTTGGAGGGAGGAGAAGAACGGAACCATTATGTGTGAAACCTGCATGACATCAAATCAGAAAAAGGCCTTGAAAGCTGAGCACACTAACCGACTGAAGGCTGCCTTCGTAAAAGCACTGCAGCAAGAGCAGGAGATTGAGCAAAGGATACTGCAACAGACTGCGTCTCCTGTGCAGACCAAGTCAGACCCTATAGTGCAGCACCACTCGCTCAAGCAGGTACGGCTCCGTCGGCCAGAAGCCAGATCTTGGTGCTGATGGGGCAGAGGTCCCTTGGCTCCAAGCACAAGTGTTCGGTATGCAGGCGTGAGACTGACGCGTGAACTTGCTTTGTTTAAGCTCCGCGGCGGGTGTGTGTGAGTTTAAGCTTATGCTTAAAACCAGGCTGGTTGAAGTGTTTTTTGTCATGTGGGGACCTGATACTTAAATTAGGTTCTCTGTACCTGAAGAACAGCAGAGAGAGGTGTTTCTTCTGCAGAGTCATTGTAATTATCCAGCGTGTTTAATTCTTATCCTGCAAAGTCTGTTCCTGATTATTTTTTTAGGCTATACCAAATGGAGTACTTTACCAAGAGTAAATTGACCTGATAGGGAAAAAAAAAAAAAAAAGATATTTTTGGATTGAGCCAGGAACGCATAACGTTGCTTGTGAACTTTTAAGGTGGTGGTAGCAACCACCCATGACAGAGACTGGGTCTCGCACACCTTGTAAAACCACCTTTCAGTTGGAGGAAGACAGAAGTGCTGCTTTGAGTTGAAATAGTCAAGGTACTGGTTATTTAGGACAGGGAAGTAGTGTCGCCTGTGCATGGAGATGCTTACACGGCACATTTTTTTTGCTGCTTTGCAGTTGATTGTAATTCCTCATCCTTACAGGTGCTTTCAGTAGTAGAAAGCTACTTCTTATTTCCTTGTAGCGACGTCTTGGAAGTTTTCAGCCCTGAAATGGGCTGAAATGCGTTCCAGACTTGGCAGAAGCAGCCAGGAAAGGAGGGAGGAGCGGTACAGATCCATCCAGGCTATTGCACTGGAGGAACGGGAAACTGCCATGCCCGTCTTACCGTTTGCTCTCTTGCCAGACTTCTAGCCAGATGTCTCGAGGTCCTCCCGGAGCTCCGCGAGGAGTGTTGCATGCATTTAGCCAGTCACCCAAGTTGCAGAATGCATCGTCTGCAGCAGCACTTGGGAGTAGGCCAGGTAAGCATGCTGAGAGACCTGTCAGCAAGGGCAGCGCTGCCGCCTGGAAGAAGACTCCCATCAATACAGGTAGATTTTTCTCTAAAGTTTGTTTTATTTGTACTTACTAGCTGCACTCTGTCCAACAATCATAGTTCTTTGGGTAAGGATGCTTGCTCTTCGGCACTTCCTGCATGAAAGCCTGATGGCTCCGAGGCTTTGCTCGTAGTATTGTTGTTGGCACTTGCTTTTGGTATGGTTTGTGCCCGTCAAAAGGGGCGATCGGGTGGTGCAACCACATAAAAACTCCTGCTCTACACATTTATAAATCGACTAAGTAGATGCAATGTCAGACTGTTCATCGTTGAGCCCGTATGCGCGGCCAGCGCCGTGCTGCGGGGCTTCGTCAGTCGTTTCTGGGAGCTGAATTCAGTCGTTTGAATCCTGGCTGGTGTTTTCTCTCTGCTGAAAGCAGCGTGCAGTAAATAGATGTTTTGGCTCTAGGTAAGGCTACAGTGCACGCTCCCGGTGTTCCTCAGGGTTTGAAATAACGAAAGCTGTTGCTTTGAACAAACAGAAATTATAAATTCTAATCTAATCTTTTTTTATACCTATATAAGAATCTGACTTGAGACGAGTAATTTGTTTTCTTAAATGATAATTAGGATCTCCAGGAAGGAAACACTAGCTCTTTTGTGATCTGTTTTCTTTCCCAGTATTGAATGGATTTTTTTTTTTTTTTTTTTTTTAATTCCTGACAGCTTAATTTATCATTTAAAATGTAATTTCATTGCAGAGAGCTCTAGCCTGCTCAAGTTTTCATTTCTGGTTCAAAATCTTGCTCCTCTTTGTTCAAATGATTTTGGAAGCTTTCATCTTCTGAAGCTTTCCGACCTTTGTGGCCAATAATGCCCCGTGCTTAGATGATCTGTTTTCGTGTGGGTGAAATGCGAGTAGCGTGGTTTTGCCAGCGTTTTGTCTCATGTTTTTATCATGCTGTGACACTTGTTCTCTCTTCTTTTTTATGTCTCATCAGGTGGGGCTTTACCTTTTGTTAATCCTAGTTTAGCTGTGCACAAGTCGTCTTCAGCAGTAGACCGCCAGCGTGAATATCTCCTGGATATGATTCCCCCACGGTCCATCCCACAGTCCGCCACGTGGAAATAATGCAGAGGAACGCCCAAGAGGAAGACTTTCCTGTTTCTGCCATCCTTTTTGTACCACATTACAGTGGAATCTGCTTTAATCCCAGCTGGATATGCCCCAGGCTTTATAGGATGCAAGAAGACCACTCCTCATCCCATCGAGTGCTGCTGTCCCTGCTATCAGAAAATGATACCACGTGGGTGGGAAAGACTTAAGCTCATTTGGTTCTCAGATTCTTAGGATTGACTGATGATGAAGGCTGTCAGGGAAGGGGAAGAATTCTTTCTTTTTTTTTTTCTTTTTTTGGCTTTATGTATTTAGTTTGGATTTTTTTGTCACCAGCACAAAAGGAGGACTAAATGACTCTCTGCCTTTGGTTTCTTTATTAATAACTACCCGTTCACCAGGAACATGGTGTTCGTTCGCGATCGAGCACGGATGTCAGTTCAAGGAGAGAGGAGTTTCAACCCGATCTTGCAGATGCATTTAGTGAGCCGAGTTCATGTTTGCTTTTCTTCCCTGCCCCTCTTCCAGCCAGGAAGGCAGTCTGCAGATTGTAATGTTTCCAAATCTTCTGATGGCGAGCTAATGATAAATAAGTGCAAACTCAAATTCCAGTTGAGTATGGTTTTTTTCCTAAGGGACTGGCTGCCACCAAAACTTGTCTGCTAGGTGGGAACCGGTGCAGGAGTCTCTCACTTTTGTTGGATTCTGTTTTGAATAGACTTTGAACTGTTGGTAGTCTAAAAATCTAATTCACTGAATAGACAAAACACCTTTGTTCAGTCTTTCTAATTCAGCGAAGAGCAGTTGGGCCTTTCACATGTTTCCAGAGACTTAAAAGTGAAACTGTTTTTGATTATTTTCTTTTTGGAGGGTTTTTTTGTTGTTGTTGTTTTGAGCAATTTCACTCAAAAGAAAGAAAAAAAAAAAAAATAGGAATTCCAAAAGCTGCATGCAATCAGAAAGGGCGAGTGGAGGGAGCAGAGGACGGGGAGGCTGCCGTCAGGTCGCAGGCTCCTTCCTCTGCCGATACCCGCCGCGAAGCAGCCGTTCCTGGTCCGTGCTGCGGTGGCCCGAGGAGCGTGGCAGCACGTGTCGGGCAGGCTGGGGGCAGGACTGCCTACCTTGATCCCTCTAGAGCTCCGTTCTTCCAGGCGTACCGAGCATGCTCCTCTGTCCACTTCAGTATTTCTTTTTCGATAGAGCTTTAGGTAACCCTGCTTTAAAGACAGGTTTCTACGTGGTTTCGGTATGTTTTGGGGATTCCACAGGTTAAACCCAAATCCGTCAGGTCCAGGTGGTTGGTTGGTTTGGTTTTTTTTCTCTTCCTGTCACCTTCCCTCCTTCTTCCCTGTGCTTCTCCCAAACTAAGGTTGAATTCAAGTGGCAGAAATACATGCCTTACTACTTACGTTGCATATCAGTACTAGAAGTAGTGCTGATAAGAATTATTTGGAAAATTATATATATATATC